TTGAATCTTCGAAATGATTTTGAAAATAGTTTCATGTACCATAATGAATGTCTGAAGAAATTGAAAATAATCTATTGTTAAAATTCTTATGGAAATTGCGTATTAATCGTATTAAATGTTAATAATTGTTATTCACCTTTGCTACGAAGGAACAAATATTTTTCACATTTCAGCGAGACGGAAGTGTCATACTTGGAAGAAGTCGAGAACGAATGACTTAATTACTGAAACAGCGAGAGATCAGCAGGTAGCTTCTGTTTTTTCCTGTTATTCGAGCAATTATAATTTAGCTTCATCTGCCGAAAGTTTTGTACATTTCGGAGTGAAGACCTAGCGACCTAATTATTCCATAATGAATTTCGCTATTGGTTTAAGTGTTAATTGGAGATCCACGCGAAAATGAAACGAGAAACATTCGTTCGAGTCGGATAGATACCACGGACACGAGGCTGTCTCGCGAGTGTCAGCTATCTTGATTAATAATCATGATTTCGTTCCCCGGTGTTCCGGGCGTAATTGCTTTTAATCGTTCACTTGAAATACCATGGCAGTGGGAATACAGCTTTAGGCTATCGGTCGATAAACGCAGGCAACAAAAAGCCGATTAATGGGCTTCCGGACGGCGAGGTGTTAAGAAGCGATGGAGGAGGAGTGGGAACGGTGCCGCGACCACATTGGTTAACTTCGGAAATGCTAAAACTTCGGGACTCATTAAAAAGCACTGGAAACGCGGCACGCTTCTCGTGCGAAACATTTCTAACCAATCCGACACCTCTGACAATTTTCTCTGATTCTACGAAGACGTGTGGAACAACTAGAAAAACTATAGAATGTTTCGAATATATTCAAAATTCAATTACGTTCACAGACGTAAATTGAACTTCAAGCTCTTAATGAAAATTAAGATGAACGAAAAGTATCCTGGAAATATTTCTGGCAGAAATTGATATAGTCCCGAAGGAGCCCAGACGCCGGCGCTTGCGAGAAAAACGTTCGTCTTCCGACGGTTAACAACGCCGAACACGTTCGAAAAGTTGCAGGGAAAATGTGAGAAGACTCTCCGACCGAGGTAGCTGCAAGATAAATCAAACGAAGCCGTTGAACCGCTGGGATTAAGGCGCAAAGGTCGGAACGCGCGAGGATCCAGCCGAATACTCGAGAAATCGATCGGCCGACAAGATGTCCGGCGGAACAAGCCGCGTCCGGGCCGAGCGGCGAACAGCCGCGACCACTCGAGAATGATTTTCGTCTGGCGAGGATGGAAGATGGATGCCTGGCGGGATCAACGCGGCGAAACTTCCGCACGCGATTTGTCACGAAAGTTGCTGCCCCGATAAAAAGTACCATCCGTCCGTTCGGCGACGTATCGACGGCGAGCTCGGTGAAAGACGCGAGGAAAGAGGAAGGAAAGGAAAAACCGGGTGGAACGGGAAGTCTTCAAAGAGCGATCCGTGGAGAGGATCCGCGAAATATTGCCGGCATAATCCTCCACGAGGAGGAAAGAACTTCTGGACGATTTAGAGGGTGTCTGCGGTGTGTGGAGAACTTGTAAACGATCTAGAGAATTTTTAGACGATCCGGAGAACTAGCGGGCGATTCGAAGAACTTTTAGATGCTCCAGCGGAGTAGGAAATTTGAAGAACTTTTTGATGATCTGGAGATATTGTGGACGATTCGAAGAACTGGACGATCTAGAGAACTAGTGGGCGATTTGAAGAACTTGTAGGTGATTAAGGGAAGTAGGAAATTTAATGAACTGCTAGATGGTTCAGAGAAATTGTGGACAATTTGAAAAAATTCTAGACGATCTAGGAAACTAGAAAATTTAAAAAACTTTTGGATGATCTAAAGAACTTCTAGACAATTTGAAGAACATCTAGACGATCTAGGGGAGTAGGAAATTTAAAGAACTTCTAAATGATCCAGAGAACTTCTAAACGATTTGAAGAAATTCTAAACGATCTAGAAGGCTAGGAAATTTAAAGAATTTTTAGATGATCTAGAGAACTTCTAGATGATTTGAAGAACTTCTAAACGATCTAGCATACTAGGAAATTTAAAGAACTTCTAGACGATCTACAGAACTTCTACACAATCTACAGAACCTCTAAACAATCTAAAGAACTACGCGACTCAGAAAGCGCGTAGACGATCTCAAAGACTCCTAGACGACTCAAAGAATCCACACTCGATCGTAACTTCTAGCAGATCCAGAGAACTTCTACACAATCTACGAAACTCCCTAACGATCTACAGAACTCCCAGAAACTAATTTCTCAGATCGAGGAACGACGGAACCTGTCGATCTTACCTCCACGTTGCACGTCGGGGACCGGAAGCTCGGAAAGTTTCGCGCCTACGACGGGCCGACGCTGTCTCGCCTGGCTTCTCCCACGTGGAGAAGGCGCCGACGAGCCTTCCTCGAACAGGAAACAAAGCGACGTAACGGGGTCAGGCTTCGCCTAGGACCCAAAGGATCCAAGTTCCTCGTGCTTCCTTCCTTACTATCTCCCTCCCGGATTGATCAGCGACGATTCCTCCGGAGAACTTCCCAGGCGCGGAGATCGGCGAGTCGAGAACTCGCTTCCCACGTCTTCTTTCCCCGAAGTTCGAGCGAATCCCAGTTTCAGTTGATCAATTAAGTCCCCAACCAAAGTTCCAACGAACAATTCGACGCTCAGCTCCAGACGCCCGAAGCTCCAGCTCCGATAACGATCGAGATCCGTTCTACACGCGGAAGATCGCTGGAGAACCCTTCCGGAGAACAATCAGCAGGTTCTAAGTCGCCCAGGATGATGATAGCTCGAAGAGACGATGACTGTCTTCGGAAGCAGATCGCGGAGAAGCTGGACCAGCGACTGTCCAACCGGACCAGGAAATCGGCGTCGATCGAGGGACTCACGGTTGGACCGATCCGGAGCGTACCATTGCGACGATCGGATCGCCCCCGGTTCCGTGGTGCCACGCGCGGGTTAAGTTTCCTGGAGACGCGAGAGACTGCTGGACTGAGCTGCTGGATGGATGGACGCGACTCGCAGAGAGAGAGCTAGCGATCCCGACGACGATCACCGACTGAGCCGCGCGGAGCGTCAGGAACTCGCGACGGAGCGGCGGAAGAAAGGATGAAGAGAAGGTGGCGGCGGCGGCACCGGGGCGCCTGCGCTACCAATTTTACACATGGTCTGCGAGCACGTTATATCCACCCCCCGAAGGGACCACCTCCTACACCCCCTGCCGCCGCGGCGGAGGGGGAGGGCCGGCCACCCTCCGCCCGCCGTGTCCCGAAACTGGCCGGTCCGCGGGGCTGAACCGGCTCCGCGTAGCTACGCAGCCAACTACCCACCGTTAACCGTGACCGGGTGTAACTACAGGCCGTGGAGGGAATAAGAGGGGTGAAGGGAGAGGAACCGTGCCGCTGGACGGTTATACAGGGTGCTTCTGTTTGTTCTGGACGGGGCTGAATGTTTTGGTACAGTGTCTCCCAACGTGGAAACTGGGGTTTGACTTTTAACCCTTTGCAGGTAGGTGCTAGTTACTACTCGATTGGTGCGGAATTGTAGAATTGTAGAAACCCTTTGCACTCGAGAGATGACTCTAACGCTTGAGTTGATACAGCAGAATTGTAAAGTATTATATAGAATCTTAAGCTTTGTGTAATGCATCGATACGTGGTGTGTTGAAATGCTTTCTCATTAATTAGTTTCGAAGAAGATCGTCTGTATCCTGTCAGAGAGTGTTGCATATTTCTAGTGAAGAACTTTCGAGGGCAAAGGGTTAATCCTTCGCGGACGAACGTCGACGTTGACGAGATGAAACCTTTATGTTTGGAAGGCTAAGTCGCAGACAAATGATTTAATTGATGGAATCGCAAGAGATTAGCACGTACCTTCCTATTTTCTGTTGTTCAAGTCCGCAGAGTTAAGGGGTAGTTTGAAATTTGGAATATAAGTTTCACGTTGCGCAATATTTACGCGCGAATGAAATAGCAGAAATATTAGAATGAATTTCGAGTAATGAAATCATTCGTTTGCAACTTAGTGCTCTAAATATGAACATTTCATCTCGCCAAAATGTCGACATGGACGGAAAGTTAACACTTTACATTCGGGAGTTTTTCATTGGAAATATTCAAACTTTGATGATGAAGTGAATCGAACGAAACTGATTTGTTTCGATATTTTGCATGATGTTTTACTAGTAGATTCGAATTTGTACCGAGTGTCCATAGTAGTTTGAACAGCTTCGACATCTGAGGAACCAGCCCTCTGAAATTTTCTGTTTCCCTCGGCGTTTCGTGACAAACGATCCTACGTTCGCTTTTTCCCTTGTTTCTCCTCGTTTTCCATTGTGGAATACGCGTGGAAACCAACTGAAACACCCCGTGTGTCTTTGAAACGCTCGGGACGGCAATTGAGCGCGTTTAGCGGCCATTCGGCGCGGTCCGCTCGATCGCGGCGATCTTTCGGCTTGTAATTTACGGGAATCCGAGAGCGAACCGTGTGCACCGTTCCTAGACAGTGTTTACCGACCGGTTGACCGGAGTTTCTCGGTCCCCTTTGCGGGACGAATCGGGATCGCGAAGGGGTTGGGAAGATGGACCAACGGGGTTCGCCGGAACGTAACGGATCGACTCGGAGGATCGTAGTTTTAGAATCGCGAGTGAAATAGTAGCTCGCGCGTGTTTCTTTGAGTTTCGGGCACAACAGGTTGGAATCTCGTTGTATCTTTTAAGGAAAGCGACTGTTTGAACTGCGATATCGTATCGGAAACGTTTCGCTTTAAGAAAACAGAGTTATCGAACGTGGGCGCCGTTGAGGCGGAATTAACCACTTGCGGTGCAAAGACGCGCCACGCACAATTTTCCAAATTGATTTGAAAAATATCGTGATACGCAAGATTATTAATAAAGAAATTTGGTATTCATATATGTGTAGTTTATCACCAGTTGATGCGTTTGAATTATTTTTATTGAGTTCAAGAGCTGACGGACATCCACGTACCTCTCCATCGCCGTCGTAATAAACGAGGTAGCGCTTGGTCAGAACGAACCAGCGTTGCTTGAAGTTGACGGGGGTGAAACGTTTCTTGTTCTGGGAACGTTTCACCATGAACCCCTGCCTCACCACGTCCCCGCTTTTCGGCTCCAGCTTGCCATCTTTCCCCGCCATCACCGACGGAGGGCCACCCTGCGAACAGGACACGATTATTCCACGTCAACCGTTGGCGAACGCGAATTTCTTAATGCGCCCCCGGTTTAATACCTCGTCGTCGATTGAATTTCAGACATTTCCTGTAGTTAATTTCATAATCGTTATTAGAAAAGTCGGAGAGTCAATTCAGAATTGGCGTTGGCGAACGCGAATTTCTTAATGCGTTCGGAAGCTTCTTTACTGTAAAATCAGAAATGACTGTACATCAATCATTTTTAGTTTTCATCTTTCTACAGAAACTACTTCTTTCCACAGTTTAATACTTCGTCATCGATTGAATTTCAAACATTTCGTAAAGTCGAAAAGTCAATTCTAAGATAAAATTTCAGGTGCCATTTCACAACTTCGATAGAAACAGCGTTAACAGTTCCTCCAAGAAGCAACCATATCTTCCCCTAATTACAAAAGAAAGTAACGAATGATCTCGACGAACTAAACAGCTCGAAATCTTAATTATTCCAATCGCCGATCGAAATTATACAAATAACAGGTCAGTAGTTATCTCCTCACCGAAAGGGAGCGTTTAGGGACGAACCATGTACCGATCTCCTCATTTAAATAATTAAGCCGTTAACTTGCAACATTCTGGACACGAAAGTCCGATGACACACGAGACACAAATACGTAAATTCGAGCGATAAACGTTTCCAGTGTTTCCGCGGGTTTCGCTAAGGAACTTCCGTGAGACGCATGACGAAGTTTCCGCCTATGACGAATCAAGCGGCGCCATTTTTAGACCGTTACCCGAATTAGCATCCGCGCAGCGCTTACTCGCCGCGGAACAAACGCGAGCGACATTCTCGCGCGGCCTCGTGGCCGACACACCTTTCGCACAAAGGGAACCGAATATCGGCGGAATTCCGATTTTTCCCGACCTCCAGAGGAACGAATTGTCTCGCATTCGCTCGAAGATCCGCGAGACGCGTTGCATTAAACTTCAATACTTCGATCGTTAATTGTTTCCGCCCGATAGGAACCGGTCTGAAACTTTCCCTCGGGGAACTTCGACTTGATTAAAAACCAATTACCGTAACCTCGCCGGTGAACTTTCAATTATCCCAATCCAGCTCGAGATGTCTCCCAATGATTCCTAACGAAGGCCCGTCGGAAGTGACGGCGAATACATTTCGAGAAACGAAAAACGCAGGGTCTTAGCGAGTAGAAAGTTTCTGTCAAAATGGCATCTAATTTACGAATTTATAATTCTTCTGTGTTTATCTAATTTCTCGGTGAGTCAATTGTACGATCTGATTGATGATCGAACGGAAACTTGGAACATAACTTGAATTTCTGTAATTTCGCGATGAAGTTGAACAGCGATTTAGTCATTTGGCGAATGATTCGTTGCGGGGAGCGAAACTTTGACTGAAGGTTCGAAGAACGTAATTAGAATTCATAACAATGTTAAATGATACTGAAAATAGTTACTACTAATCCGATATCACAGTACTAATGTTACATTATTATCTAGTTACTTATGGTACTGAACATTTTCATTCGACATGAATTTTCTTATTGTCATTCTTCTTAAGCGATCTGGAAGCTCCGGTCATCGATGACTATCGTGGCAGTCAACGTGTTAATCGGACAACATAGGAAATCATATACAGTGAAATGAGCGGAGAAAAACAGATTTTAACCCTTTGAACTCTGTAGGCTCCAATATTGCACCAGTTATAGTATCAAATATTTTAACGAATCAAAGAAACTACCCCAACTATCGAGCAGTCGAATCGATTGGTCTTTATCTTTCTAGAGAAACTTAATCTTTAGATACTCTGGTAGCTTTCCTGTAATTATGGGAAATATCTGAAGTGAGATTGGATCTATGTTTGTTAACCCTTTGCACCCGGATGAAAAATTCCATTCGCCAATTTCCCTTTATCAACATCTCAATGAACCATCAAAGTACAACAATCCACAAAATTGCAGTAAAATCAAAGGCTCTTCACATTCCCGAAAGTAACATTCAAATTTCACGAAATAAAATCTAATGTTCAACCCTAAACGAACCCTTAACCCTTTGACCTAGAACATCGTGTTGGACTCGTGACGAAAATTATAAACCGTTATTTATTGCTTTTAACTCTTCGCACTCGGATGTTTCTTACTAGAAATATTTAGCATTTCCTCACGAGGCGAAGACGATGTTCTTCACTTCGGACAGCAAAGGGTTAAAAATGTATCGATACGATCACCGACGTTTTTGGTAGCTGAAACTTGGCCGGCGTTCGATGCGTTAATACGCCGAGGCTCGGCTCTCATCACGGTTCCGAGGCTGGAGGCGGATGTAACGCAGATGCGGTCGGCCGTTGTACGCACACGCGACCACGAGGAAAATTGCGTTAGCTGCGTGCACGGTCACGTGCCCGCGCCAAGTTCCTTCCGGTCGAGCTTCCGGAAGGATCAGGAGCCGCGGCGCGCGCTGGGAATTCCGAACTGACGCTTCATTTTCGTCTGATCGCCGTAAGGTAGCGAGACTCTCGGGAAAAACGTTTCATCATCGTGGGAGGAGATAATATACACCAGGGCCGCGTTAAGATTCTCTCGCGCCCCAGAC